ATTAACACCCTCCACAATAAAAATGGTTAATCAACCTCTCATAATTACAAAAAAATGAACAAAATGAAAAATTATGATTGGTTGAATGAGGTTTTCACGGTTTTTACAAATTGAGTGGTTTTTATTTGAACCCACCCCTATATATATATATATATATATATATATATATATATATATAAGGAAATAATCTAATAAGAACTAAAAAAAATTGAAAACCGTTAGAATCACTGATAATGTGTTGTTTCACATTGTGGAACAATGAGTGGATGTACAATGTTGTTTTATAATATGAAACAAAAACAAAATTAAAAAATAATCACATTATGAAACAACAGTTATTTTCATATGCATTTTTTTACAATAACATTAAAATTGGTTCTTATAATTCTCAAAAAAAATAATTGTGGTTCTCATTTGATTAGTCCCTTATATATATATATACTATGATCAATAAATTACCGGTTAAAAAAGGTATGAAAGAAAAGATTTTAAAATATTATTACATTGATTAAGAATAAAATTGTTACACTAAATGGAATTAAAATAAACATTGGTGTATTATTATTGTGTTGAAACATACATAAAAGATATTTAACCACCAACAAAAGGAAATTGAAAATGAAAGAAAAAAAGTGCGTGCTCCATAGACATTTTTACAACTAAGGGGACGTTTACTAAACGTTTACCCGGTAAGTGTTTATCGGGTAATTTTTCTTACCGGATGAATAGGGCAAGGGTAAAAAAATTTACCCGGTAAGGGCAACGATAAAGATGGAGAGTATTACTCGGTAAGTGAGGGTGACGATTCTTACCGGGGTAAATGCTTACCGGGTAAATTGTTGCATATAGTATCATTTTGATATACTACAATATTATCCGGTAAAATAAATTATAGTGTTGGCTCATAACAGTAAGCACTTACCGGGTAAACATTTAAGTAAACGACCCCTAAGTTAACGAAGTCATAGTGTTTTAGGATTTTCAAAGCCATTAGATTCTGGGTTCTTTTTCACTTGAATGAAATGTGCAATTTCATGCTAAAAGTATTCAAAATATTGAATCTCAATAATTCGTTAAGAATGGTTCAACATGTTACCTTAGTAACCAAAATCAAGAAACGTACAAATTATGAAGACGTAAACTTATTACAACCTAAAAAAGCCTGGTTTAACTTTGAAACAAAAAATACTAATCACTTTATTAGTTTGTTTGGAATCGGACCCATTCTTTTGATAATAGAATCGATTTGTGATAATTAAAGGGTGGTTGGCTCGTGGAATTAAAATGACAAATTACTAGTCCCTGCAGGTTAAATGGATTTGAATCCCATCAAATTATGTGATTTCCGCAATTAGGGGAATTGAATTCCATTACCTGGCTGCCACCAACTCCGACGTTGCTACTGTTGTTGCATCATCACCACCGCTACAGCCACCTAATAATAATATTATTAGTTTTATCATTATATATTATTTGTAATTTAATCAAGAAAGTGTGAATATGAAATTATATTCTGTTCCACTTCATTTTAAAAACATTGTACGAACCAACTCAACATCCACTAAAGCTCAAGTACGAGTACTTGGAAATGAAATATGACACCAACCAACATGATATACAATTTGCAATCAGAAGTGTCACACAAGTTCTTCCCAATCCACAATATCATCATGTCAAACAAACAATAACAGTATCAAATCCATTTTTCAAATACAAAAGAAACCACAAGAGGCACCTTCTTTCCTCCTGATCAAGAATCAGATGAATAAACAAATTAGCAAGTTATTTCATGCTTACTTCGGCATTTTTAGATTGTTCCAAGATGCTCCAGCAACGATTTCGCCTTCCGTTTAGCCCTCTCCGACCCATTTTTCACAAGTTCCATCAATGGAATTACCGCACCAAGCCTACTTATGCACGCCAGATTCTCGTTATCCCTTTTGCACAACGAAAGCAAGATGGACGTAGCATTTTCTTTGTTTCTTGGAAGCCCAGTTCTCGTTAAATCAATCAGAAGCGGTATCGTGCTAGCTTTTACTATCGCACTCTTAGCTTCTTGATGGCTAGCAAGAACCGAAAGTATGGTCAATGCCTCATCAACCATACAACCAGTCGAATCACTCAACATTTTAAGCAGCACCCCAATGATCCCTGCCCTCACCGCCCTCCCTTTGTTCCGTTGGTAAATGCACAAATTAAACAAAGCTGTGGCCGCATCTTTCTTGCCTCTAACGCTTCCATTTTCAAGCAGATTAACCAAAGCTGGAATTGCACCAGATGCACCAATGATGATTTTATTCTCATTTGCAAGCGATAGGCTAAAAAGGGTAGCAGCCGCGTTTTCTCTTGTGGCCATGCTTCCAACTCGGAGGAGTTGGACTATTGAAGGTACCACGTTCGCCAGCATTATAAGCCCTTTGTTGTTTTCGTATATAGAAAGGTTCAGAATGGAAGTTACCGCATTTTCTTGTGTGACATTATCTTCAGATGTTAATAAACTGACCAGGATCGGGATTGCTCCTGCTTCAGCAAGGAGTATTCGGTTGTCTGTGCTTCTTTTTGATAAAGATCGTATTTCTGATACGGCTGCCCTTCGTTCTTCGATGGACCGGCTTGACAGGTTTCGCACGATTGCTTCAATGGCTTCTATATCTTCACTCACGTCACGAAACGACCCATCGCTCCTTTTCAGTCTCCGGTTTGTTAGAGACGTTGGCTGCTCAACGTTATGATTAATGCACCACTGCGTGATCAAACTTCTCAAGACATAGTTTGGAGTTAGCGTTACGTTTTGAAGTTTCTGTTGAGTTTTTGGGCATGTTGTGTTCCCACAATCGATCCATCTCTGTATGTATGATCTCTCATAAGTCTGCAAAAATATCATAACATCAGAAACAAAACACTATAAAAGATCGAAAAATAAATGAATTCAACTTAATATACCTGTCCTGTGGAGACTATAACCGGATCCCTCATCAGTTCTAGAGAAATCGGACAAAGGAAATCAACAGGAATTGCAGGAGCATCCATCTTCTTATTTTCATCTACGTTCTTGTTCGATGAGTTATCTCCATCATCAACATCAGCAGTTCTCAATAAAGATGTTTCAGATGATGCAGATGAATTTTTCGAGCTTTCCAGCTGATCAATCGCTTCATTTTGATAATACCCTTTAGAAAGATTTTCTTTTGGTGCAGTTTCCACCTTTGTTTCAACTTCTTGATGATTGATGTTACTGGTGTTTTCTACATGCAAACTTCCACGGCGATCAAGCTCCTTTTCTGAAGGTTGCAGTAATCCATGAGAAAGAACAACCGACTTCAGGGGCCTCCCATATCGTTCCCTTGCTCTTCGCAGCTGACCTCTCACTAAATCAACCTATGTGAAAAGATTTAGTTCAGAAAAGATTCGAACAACATTAACAACTCACGAGAATCAAGACAACCATATATTCTTACTTGTTCTTGAACTTCCTCCGAGATGTCGAAATGATCGTATGGCAAGTTTGCCAACGCTTTTTCCAATTTCCATGTAACGCACTGGAATTGAAATGCAATTTTCTGGGCTGCTCCATCCTTTAATCAAAAGTAATCAGGTTTAAGTGACTAAATACTTCAAATCTTTTGCCAAATTTTCTCAACCAATTCTTGTCTCTTAGATTTCTGAAACCTTGATGAGTTTGTTCCCCAAGTGAAAAAGCATTTTCTTTTCTCAAGAAAAGAAGATATGCAATCCCTCAAGAGGTAACCCAATGACGTTTCTTGGCCTCTGAATCTATGAAAACAAATATACTTGCATACCAATTGAAAGGCTTAATCCAACGGCATACATTTGGTTCTATTGCTCTATCTAGTAATAAGCATTTGATGAAGTTATCGGAACCGGAATTCGAAGATTCTATAGAGTATTCTTTGATTTTACTGTCACAAAACAGTGCGTTCATCATAATCATAAACTAATTTTCTCGAAAATCCTTGCCAGATGTTAAAACACAGTCCCACCCACCAATTTGGAACATTTAGAACAACTCACAGTCCCACCAATTTGATCAGGTTTTGATAGAATAAATGGGTATTTATTTACACTATTAATCTAACAATACGACACTACACAGTCAAATAAGAGCATAGATCAACTAAGAGCAGTCAAATTGTAAAACAAAAATTCAATTGAATTATGGTGTTTGTAAGATTGATAGCAAAGTTAAGATGCACTCACCAGGGAGATCTTATGATCGAAATTGGCTGCAATTGTAAGGAGCTTTTTGGCAGCTTGAAGAGCAACCGTTATGTCAGCTAAACAAGAGGAAGAAGATGATGAAGAAGGCGATGAATCCAACAACCTGAAATCTCCCTTAAAGTCCCTAATTTCCTCCAACAAATGCGACAGCAAAGCCACCCTTCTCGAGAGGTCTGTGCAATCTTTCTTGAATTCTCCGGCGAACCCAGAAGCAGAGTTACGGGCCACATCCCTGACGAGGCGGAGGAGGGATTGGATTGCAGCCAGGATGGCGGTGGAATCAACACCAGCCATGGGTGGTGGTGGTGGTGGTATCGAAATTTTGGTGTGTATGGCAACCACTATGCAAGAAGAATGAATGGGGGATTGGGTCTTTAAGGATTGAAGAAAAAATTGTTAAAATAATATAGAAAAAATTAAGGCGAGATTCTCGGTAGGATGATTATGTATTTGAATGAGTAGGTTGGTGATGGTGTTTGGGGTCAGTGCGTGTTCATGGTGTTAGTGTGTGAGAGAGGGAAACGACAGTTGTAAAGGGGAATATTGTGAGGAGGAATGCAATGGAAATGGAAGGGTGATTTCGTCTGCAATAATTGGTTCTTTAGGAAACCACATTATTATACGTCTTTTTAACGTTATTTTTAATAACCGTTTTCCCTTTTTATCATTTTCTAATTTTTGTTGTATTTTTGGAAAAATATAAATGCTCACAGAAAAACAACAATCCATGTAATATCTTAATTATCCGGTGGAATTTCAGATATACACAACAATTGATGTCATTGACTTATCAGATCTGATTTCCAAAAAAAAATTGTACTTTTTGAAATGTGTAAAGGAAACTTGTTTTGAAAAATTAGTCTGGACCCTCTAAGAAAACAATAACACGGAAGTTTACACATGGGACCTTACACCTTTGGCGTGTTAAGTGTTTGTCTCCCGATCAACCTGACCATTTAACGGTCTTTTTTGTATTTCATAAAGTTTTAAATTATGATTTGCTTTTTTATTTTACCTATTAGTAACCATTTCATGATTTCAAGTATTTTAAATCTGGTGTGTAAACCTATAAATCGTCGGACTATTTTTGCCCCAACCTAAGCTCACGTCTCTAGAGTTTTTTTTTAGGGCCAACTAGAATTTATAGCTGAGAGCTCACAAACTGATATGGACATCCACAGTTAAAAAAAATCCCATGTCTCCTTTCAATCGCCCAAGCCGCTACCATTTTCATTTATGTTATTATGTTAACCTGGTCAAGAATTAACTTGTGAAAATTATAATTAAAAAACACAGATAATCAAAAGTAAGAAATAAACTTTGTTAAGAATGATGGTTTTGATTCCAAAGTTCAAATGCAACATAAAACGTGATTAACGGTCGAGAGATTACACAAGTTTCGACTAAACCCCACGTTAATTCTAACAACATCAATAAGTATAGTTGATGTGTGTTTCAAGTTCAATGCAAAATTGTTCAAAGGTACTCGAATTACGACCATCTATACCTGTCATTTTTATAATTAACTATTACATCCACCGTCGTGACAACAACAATAATAATATTCTTAAAAAAAAGTAACAAAAATTGATGATCCGAAATACAAAATACCAATTAGGTCCATCATGTGCTTGAAATATTTTCTTGGAAAGCGCATTCCAAAAAACAAAAGTCAAAACCAGTTTTATGAAACAATGTTATTTAAAAAAACAGTTTAATTAGAATATCCAATTATTTATTTAAGATAAAGTTACAGAAAAAGTCCATGATTGAATGTTTCCATGGAGGTGAATGGGTGTAGGTACATGTATCTCTGCATAAAGTCCAACTCCAACCCACTGATTGAATGACTCATCATTGTGGAGGACAACTTGAGGTATGTTGCAAAATGGATTTGGTTATTGTTTTTTTAATGATTATTACTTTCAGTTTTTCTAAAAAAATGCGATGAACAAATAAATTGAGGGTTTTTTGTTTATAAATAAACTTGATGTATGTAACATGTTTGAATATAATGTTGGATAAACACAAATAAGAAGCTAAATTTTATTAGATACAGATGCATTTGAGTCGACCATGGCCGGATTTTGTATGGCAAGATATATCATTCCAAGGAATATGACAAAATTGGTATTGTTTTTAACAATCGATACAAATTATGTATGAAGACTTCTCCAGATTCTTGTTTATTACTCTATTTATTTGATAGATGTTTGTATTTATACTATATTACAAAAAGAGGATTTTCAGTTATGTTGAAATTTTTAAGAGGTACAATATATTATGCTAAATGTACAAACTCTTAAAACTGCACAACCTCTTTTTCGTCATCCATATATTAAAAATCAAGTCATTTTTTATTTCTAAGTTATATTTTATACTCTTATAACTAGTTATTTAATTTACTTTATATCTCTTGCTTTTTCATTTTACATACTTATCATATTAACATAAATAACTGTATATGAACTAAAATGAATTAAAAATACATTTTTTTTAACAAATTATACTATTATAATCTTCTCACATATACTTTCAAAATGAGTTCAATATTGAATATTTTTTATTTAATCATACTATTAAATATCATGAATACCTGCGAACTAATTTGATTTATATCACTTCCGTTTTCATTTTAAATTTTACACATTTATCATATTAAAAACACCTAATCATGGATTAACTAAAATATATTAAAAATAAATTAAAAATAAATGTGTTTATTTATTTATTACTAATCAAACCATATAAATCTCTCATCAACACCTTCAAACTAAGTTCATTATTGATTTTCATTTTATTTTAATAATATTATAAAATATCATAAATAGGTACGAATCTATATTTTATTATAAAAGACTCGGAAATAACTTGACAAATCTAAAGAAATGTACAAATTATGTACCTATTACTTTGATTTTCCTGTTTTTGGATTAACAAAGGTTTGTATTTATTTAAGGTTGCGATTGAGATATATGTTTAGGGGTGTAGGCAAGGCGAGGCGAGTCGAGTAGTAGTTTAATTGAGCCGAGCTTGAAAAATTAATATTAGACGTCGAGCTCGAGTTTAATTAAAATTTTTAATGTAGGACTCGAATTCGAATATTTTTCGAGTTATCGAGCTCGAGCTCAATGCTCGTTATGGTTCGACTCGCGATTGATTAACTCGTTTATCGTCTTGAGCTCGATAACTATTCCAAAATTACATACCTGGTTGAGTTGGTGAAGGAAAGGAAACTTAAACATTAAAAGTTATGGTTTGTTAACAATTTTGTGCTGAAAACATGTCTTTAAAAGGAATAAAAAAAAACTTTCGTTTCAAAGTCTCAATTTATGTATCTAATGCTTTTCTTTCGTCTTTCACTTGTTGTAGAGCGTAAATATGATTTAACCTTAATACAAACTTTAATTGTAATAACCAAAAAAAAAATAATAATAATAAATAAATAAATAAATTGAATGCAATTTAATGACGGGAAACCCAATGGTCATGAAACCTACGACCATTTATTATGGCTTATCGTTTCATATTCCGTGAAACCGCCGATGACTTAGTATTTATATATATGGGGAGGTCTTCCAGCATAGAGATGACAAATTCTCGGGAAAGGAAACTCGTATAAGAGAGGTGAAAGATGAGGATGATTTGGTGAAGCGCAACAAGTTTGATGCGTTTTTGGGAGTTTGTAGCTTTATGTGTAGTTTGGGGTTAAGAAGGAGAACTATTGTGAGAAAATGCGACGGTGGACGCTGTAATGAGAGTTGATGGTGCTTTACATCGTAGTTAGTTTGGCACCAATCGGGGAGACGTTAGCTACTTCAAAGATCGGTTTGGGCTACGCCATGTATTGTGAGTTTCACGTGATTTATTTTTAAAATGGTTGCATGCCTTATTTTTGATATGCTATATATGCGTGAAAAGTTCRATATTTTTATAATATGTTTTTTGAGTATTTGTGTGTCGATGGGGATGTACTACGATATGATTTTGTAAAGACGAACATGCTTTGTGAGCTTGTCTAAGCCGTAAGTGCGAACATGCTGTGTGAGTTCGCCAGGTAATGCTGTGTGAGGTAGACATCTCCCACGACGCTGTTGCTTTGTGATGTAGACACGCACTATAATATCGTTATTTTGTGAAAAGTGTTATTCTTATTAAGGCATGCTAATTTATGAAGCTTCGTGAAAATTGTTTATTATAAAAGTTGTTGTTCATGCATGAAAA